TTCCTGCTTCTTTCTCTTCCCCCACACCAACTTCCTTCCCTCTAAGTTTTGAGGCTAGATCTTACACATGGATGCTGGGAGATTCACTCTGGATCTGAATGATCTCCTGACTTAGGTTATACTCTTTCCTATAGTCAAGGTGAATATGTCTTGAGTATCTTCCCTTTTTTCTTTTTCTTCATGCATCCCCCAAGCATTTGTCTATTGCTTCTACACATGTATATGCTTTTGCTTTAAAGGAGAAAAAAAAAAGGAGAAAAACAAATAGTCTTACTCAGCAATATAACTAATGCAAAATGTATGTTCTATGTTAACTGATTTGTATTTTAGTCTAATACTGTTTATTACCAGTGGAGGGTATTTCAAAGGACAATATAAGAACCTTATTTCAAAAAATCCAGTATTCATTTTAAATGCTGCATCATTTAAAAAGCCTCATTCTTAGTAAGGCATCTTTGAGAGATCTTGATAATTCTTTTGTCTTGGCATTAAAGAAATGCTCATCTTTTTACAGATTCATCAGGTCAGTGAAGAAATACAAATTAAGGGATACATAATAATCATATAAAATAATACTATGGAAATTGTAATATATAGTTAGTGCAGAATGAAATATTTTTTCTTGTTTTTTTTTTTTTTTTTTGGTCAAGTTACCCTGTTACCTTCTTGAAACAAACAAAGAAAATACTCACTTTATTCTTCTTTTGGCAGTTTAATTACATAACACCCTGTGTTAAGTTTGATAGATTTGGTTCACATTGGCTTTAACTCTCGTGCTGTATTCAAAAGACACCCTATCTTCATTAATGATTTAACCATTAATGAACAATAATCAACAATATGAATTGCCTTCTTGTTACAGTGTTGTGAACAGGTACAGAATACATGAGCATAATAAACTCAGTGTCACATAATGTAAAAAATATGCTGGATTAGTACTTTAGCAGAGAAACTATGAAGCAATGATGATATTGTGTGATGAATTATTCGATATTCTCAAAATAAAGAGTTTAACCATGAAGTAGATCTAGTTAGAGGAATTAGAAAAAAACTACTGAGAGGAATTAGTTATCCTCTTCTGGCAAACTAAAATAGTTTATCCACATGATTTACAAAAGATCTTACATCTTTCTCCACTATAATAATATGCAGACAAATCCATGTCGCTGTTCCGTTTATTCATAAGCATCCTTCAGTTATAGGATTTGCTGTGTATATTCTGAGTCATATGACCTGTGCCTGGTAAGGCATGAGGGAAAGTGGAAGGCTTTGCCCTGTTAAGTTGGTCTGAGTGTTTAAAAAACGAAGTTTGTTTCATTTTTCTGTAGCATATAGAGGTATTGCTTTATTTACAGATTCCATTTTAATACATTCAATAAATACCCTTTTTTTTTTTTTTGTAAATCACTTGTAGAATTATTTGTACTGGAGACAGATTTGTGTGTTTTCGCTGAGAGTAATAATAGGCAGAAAACAATAATATGAACTTTTACCACAAACATCTATGCAAACAGAAAAACAAACAAACATACAAACAAAACTTGAATCACTTGAACATTTCACACTGTATAGGAACATTTATATTTCATCATCATATACTGATTTCTAATAGATGTGTATGTAAATCACCAACCTACACTTGATACACTATTAATAGTTCAACACAAATCAGTGTCTTTAATTTGTGTAATAAATTACAATAATGAAAATGTCGTGTCAGTATTTAAGATGAGGACTTAATCATTAGAAACCATTAAAAATGATTTAGAACTCATTATGTGATTAATATTTGGCATTCTCTGCTTGATAACACAAAGTTTTTTATCATTTTATTGATTGTTCTCAAGCATTTTATCTATTTTATTTGTAATGTGATGGTCTTCATACATTTAAATTTGTAGCTTTGCTGAAGCAAAAAGAGTCTAGTCAAGATTTTTAACTTGAAATGTGAAATTTGGTGCTGTTCAATTCTATGAACACATCAACATTTCAGTCCTTCTATTTATGATACTCTAATTAGTCATTGTGAAAAGGAAGATTTTTAGCTATATAAAAGCAACAATTTAAACAGATATTTAGGATGGGACTGTGAACAAAATCATGTGTTAGTTTGGAGGAGGGTTTGCAGCTACATTGGTACCAGTTTTCAATAGTTTGTCATGGAGCTGTTGTCTGCCTTCTTTTATCCAAACTTATAATGTATTGTCCTGGATGAGGGAGTGCTAACTGCTTAATCTACAGGAGATGTTCCGTTTTCATATTCTGTAGAATGTTACTTGATAATCACTTTTTGTTTCTCTGTGTGCTTGGTACCCTAAATGATTGTCCATGATTGTGCTTGCTGATAGTCACATTAGCCACAGGTGGCCATGATCACTCTTCATGATTGCCATTGACTACATCTTCCGCTCCACTTTGCCAATCTATAGCTGTGCTCTGCCTATGTTTGAGCGCACCGGCCACTTCTGCACTGTTTGGACTATTCTTATTATAATGCAGTCAGATAAGAGTTGCAGGGTGTCTTTATCATCAGAAGAGATTTCCTCCTTGCAGACTTTGCATACTGTTCTGAAAACTGCCAGAGTGCTCTTTGCCCATTGGTGCTTTGTTCCAAGAGGACAAGTTTTGCAACACAGCCAACATTTCTCCACTTCCTGTGTCACTCCTTCAATAGGGTTTGACCTTTGTACTCACAAATATTAAATTTCTTCCAAATTTAGTGTGTAATTGGTTTAACAGAGTCATTTAAAATATTTTAAAGTGTTAATTGATTATTTGACATATTCCTTTCAGTCTTAGGACATTTGAACAGATGCCATTAGAGTACCCTAACTCTTTGGATCTTTCTGGTTTATTTCCCCTTTATTTTCAAGATAATTTTGTTTTTCTATTAGTGCTTACATAGTTCATTATTTTATTGATTATATCAAAATATTTATTATGTGTTGTCTTGGCTTTAAAATCTAAGCAGTCACAATGTTTATCAGATCTGTCATTCTAACATGCTATTTGATAGGCACATTCAGTAAGTTCAAAGCAGAATTTGTGTTTTCAGGCTTAACTCCAACAGTGTCCAGAGGATTACAAAGACCTCCCTACAGAAGGTAACATTCAGCAGAAATTCGCTCTACCTGATCACATGGAGTTTCTGTTGCTTTTGTTCTCCTACTATATGTGTCCCTTTTTTTTTTCACCCTCTGTAAGGGGAGTCTGAGAAATTAACCTTGTCCAAAAGAAAGAAATTTATCCTAAAATTCACTTTACCAAGAATTTATTAGGCATCTGCTAGTTCTTCTTAGTATGTACAGCATTATTGACTTTTAAGCAGAAATGATCACTGATTACAGAAGGATTTCTGTTTAAAAATTGACGGCATGCTAAGCCTTATTTATTTTGAAAGTCAAATGCTTTGTGGATATGTCATTATATTTTTCTCTCTCAGGTTAAATTCTTAGAGCAAAATATTTAAAGATAACAAAACTTGTGGCTTAAGAGATCACAAGCATGTGGCATTAATCAGTCTAAAGGTTGGCCAAAGTGGATCTAAGTGCTGTGAAAGCGTTAATCATAGAATAATAGAATCCTTAAGGTTGGAAGGGACCGCTAGGGATCATCTAGTCCAACCCCCCTGCACACACAGGGTCACCTAGAGCATGTGGCACAGGGTTGCGTCCAAGCAGTTAGTGTATCTTTATAATGTAAAATAAATAAATAAATAAACCAAAACTGATTCATTGGAATCTTGTATGTGTTTATCAATTCTGTAAATTCATCTTTGACAATGTTGTTTGAGGAGGTTTAATTTCCCTTGGCTACTTCTGATCATTTTGTTTTTCTCTTCAGAATTCATTGAAGTAGATGGAAACTGGTTGGTTTCTAGGGATCCTTCTCAGAGCTCTATTTCTTTATTTAAATCCTTAATAATATAAACTGCTAGTAATCCCTTATTTTGGGATTTCTTTGACTAACAAATTTGCCCTGCAGTGTGCAAAAGAAACAGTTTCACAGATAATGTTTATAACTTTCACAATTTGTCACATATTTCTCCTATTATTATTTTGACATGAAAAAAAATTAGGAATACATAAATCCATATAATATGAACATTAACTCAATTTACATCACCACTTACTTACACAATCTTACAAAATAGCTCAGACTTTACCCTACTAGTCTGTCTGAGCAAATAGATTAAGAATGGAAAATTGTAAGGAAGATGTATATGGCTGGTCCAATCATATCAAGTAGGCTTGCCTTCTGTCCAAGAGCAACATCCTTGAAGTCTCATTCACATTCTTCAGTATCACAACAAAATAATGAAAACACTGCTTTCCTCAAGCAGTAGTTCTACAGTATTCTGAGCTTTGGTATTCTGCTTTGGGAAAAAAAAATACATTTGTTTCAATGGACAGATATTTTCTTTTATCAGTGTATATGCTTGCCACATCAAGATTTGCCCTCTTGTATTTGTAGTACTTATGTGAGAAAACAACAACAACAATGACAAGAGCAGGTAGATTGCTTCAATTGTAATAGTGATTAATGACATTTAAAGTTAACAATGGTGAAAAATTAACACATAAGCACGAGGTGCTTTTTATCCAAATGGAAAAATAATGAAGCTAGCACATTCGCTGTCTCTTGATCTGGTGTCTAGAAGGCCACAAACAGCCTGATTTCCATGTTGTTGACAAATTATTGCTCTCAGTGTCAGTAAATGTGGAGAATGGACTCTAAGGTTAGTTTCTTTAAGTCAAGTTTTGTTCTAAAATGAATAATTTTATCATATGATAGCCAGATTAAATAGTGGACTATCTTAATACATCTTAATATACTTGACATTTAATGATTTTTTTGGTGACCCAATTAACTATGAGACAATATAAATAAACTGTTACTAATGTCTTCTTTCTAGCTCCTTCTGAAGTGATTTTTTCATTTGACGTTGGAAACGGACCTAGTGAAATTATAATGCAAACACTCACTTCCTTAAATGACAACCAGTGGCATTATGTGAAGGCTGAGCGAAACATCAAGGAGGCATCCTTACAAGTGGATCATCTTCCTCAAAAGTCTCAAGCTGCTCCACCTGATGGACATATCCGTTTGCAGCTCAACAGCCAGCTTTTTGTAGGTAGGCACTTATTTCAAAGGCTTTTTATGAAAATTAAAATTAAAAAAAAATACTAGAGGATCAACTCCTCTGGCCTTTATTACTACATTTAATAAAATGTTCAAATAATGTTTAGTTAACACTGGAAATGAGAAAATTGAACTCTTATTTGCTTTTACAAAACCATGAGCAATCCATCTCTACAGTCTCTTCTTTCTAAACCAAGAAAGATTCAAATTAGGAAGTTTACCTCAGGATATCTCACTTTTAACATATGTGACATTAATTTAATGTCACAATGTAGTCAATAAGCTACTGAAAAAGGAGAAATGGTATAACCAAAAAATAATGCTTACTTAAAATAGTGTATAGGTATTATGCATATGATAATATTCTCACTTTAATGTTGGCATAGTATTTATTCTTGTGTTTCTGGTGTACTTATATGGTATACATTCAGGTGCGTGTAACTTTTACTTAACCTTAGTCATGCACTTGTAGGTAGATTAAGACATGAACTAAATGAACCTAATTTTTCAGGAGGGCAATTAATGGGAACGGTACTATGAAATCGTAGATAAAAGAAGATGTGTGTCCTTAAGAAAAATTCAAATGAAGAGGGAACCCTAGTATGCTGGAACCTGAATTTTGTACTATGTTTCAAAAAGGCATCAAGTGAATAAGAAGGAGACAAAAACAAATTTTGGAAAATTTGCTATTTTTGTTATGGAGAGTGATTCTGTAACAAAGAAGATATCCAAGATGTGAGTTATAATGGAGTTAGTGAAAAAGTCCTAAAAGTTAATTTATATACACAATAAGGGAATAGGGAATATATTCCATATACTGGAATATACACAGTAATGGAAGGAGCAGCATATTTCTATGTAGTATCTCTCAATAAATTATACTGGTATCCTTTTATTTGTCTTATTAATAAATACTAAGTAACTACTATTATGTTGTCTTAACTAATAAATACTAAGTAACTGCTATTATGTGAACAGCTAAAACTACATCAGTTTAAATATGCAAGAACTAGTCCTTAAACTTCCTTTAAGAAACAGTTTAATTCTGCCAATTTTGTTGAGTATTTCAGCACCTAGGGTTTTGGAAAACTTTTATGACAGTATAAATTAATTTGCTTCAGTGAGCTGATCTCTAGCTTTTCTAGCTCTTTTCCCAGAATATTTAAAATGGTGCTAAGCTCTATTCATGGTTTCATTTTTTAGTAATCTTTTTTTAAGGAACTATTGACCATTGAGCCTTTTTTATCAAGTAACTGGGCCAAAATAATTTAACGATTTTGCCGTATACTTTGTAATTCCACTAAATTTACACATGTTCATCTCCATATGATCTTGTTTGTTTAGTAGCTGCCATAGTTACCTATCAGTCATTTATTTACTTAGCAGAACTGTGAATTCCTCAGACTAAACCCCTTTTGATTTCCTTGTTAAAAGTAAATACTCTGGTGATTTTGTACCATTTTATCTGTAAAAAACTTAACCGTTTTATTGGTACTAAGTATCAATAAAATAGGACTTTAGTAGGTATAAAATAAGTATAAATCATGCTACTTTAGTAAGTAACATAAATCAATATGTGCTTCACAGACCTTATGCTGCTTTGAAGATCAATATAGAAAAATTAGTACACACACACACAAATTGAAATGGTTTATCCTTAACCTTGTTACCTCATAAAATGTTTCCATTATACTGCAACTTTCACACAGTTTAAAATTTTAATGCAATAAAGTACTATCATTCCCCTTTTGTAATCAGAAACTGAGGAAAAGAGACTGAGGTAAGGCTGCAGGCTGAAATGCAGGTTTAAGCACACCCGTAAACTATCTGCCTTTCATTTGACAAATTTGAATATGACTTTGGTAAAGCAGAGCTAAAATGGGATATTTTGGCTGGGCAGATCACACTACTTCATATGGGTCCCAACCTTCCTCCTTTAAAGGCATCTCAAGCTCAGCATTAATTCCATTACTGTTTGAAAAAGATGGACAAACTCCATCCACAGTGCTGTTCCAGAGCACTGGAACAGACTGCCCAGAGAGGTTGTGGAGTCTCCTTCTCTGGGGATCTTCCAAACCCATTTGGACACAGTCCTGTGCCATGTGCTCTAGGTGACCCCGTGTGTGCAGGGGGGTTGGACTAGATGATCTCTAGAGGTCCCTTCCAACCTTTAGCATTCTTTGATTCTGTGAAACTCAGACTGGTAGGCAGAGTCAGATCTTCTCCTGAGTGACAATGTACAAAGGTACACTAAATAACGTGAAAAGGTACAACCATGGCATTCAGGATCTCATCCTAATGCCTCAACCATGGAAACTCCCTTCTACAGTCAGATTTCATTTCCCCCTTCCTCTATTCCTTTCCTTCTCATTTTCTATCTCCCTTTCGCTGTCCTTTTTTCTTTAAAAATAAAAAATAAAAAGATTCCTGTACGAATGTGTGAACTAATAACACTACACTACTGTCTTTACTGGGTGAAATTCTTATTTTCCATTAAAAGCTTCAAGAGTTCACTGTAAATACTTGACAAAAAAAAAGGAAAAAGGTAATCAAATTTGTTTTTAGAGCTATATATAAATATTTTCACGTTTAGATATGTATCTTGGAAACTCATAATGGGCTGTAAGACATAAAGAGATTTTTTACATGTCAATTCTGTTCAATTTTTAAAAGATTGTACAAATCTATTTCAGGTGGGACAGCATCTAGGCAGAGAGGATTTTTGGGATGCATTCGTTCTTTACACTTAAATGGGGTAGCTCTTGACCTGGAAGAACGAGCGAAGATAACACCAGGAGTGGAGCCAGGCTGTCCCGGGCACTGCAGCAGCTATGGTAACCTATGCCACAATGGAGGAAAATGCAGAGAGAAATACAGTGGATTCTCTTGTGACTGCACTTTCTCTGCTTACGCTGGGCCATTCTGTAAGAAAGGCAAGCAAGTCTTTTAGTTTTGTGAATTGCTAAAAATAGACCCACACAGCCTAGAACACTAGAACTACTATGTTTTAAAGGTATGCCTAAATATTTGCAAAAAAAATAAGTAAGTCTAAATTGCTGTAGAGAAGCATTCATCTGAATTTGTTCAATAGCTGTCTCTGCATTAAATGCTGTCCTAGATCTTCCAGAGGACTATACTGAACGTCTACCATTTACATCAGGCACTGCTCACCAAGAGGATCAGCATTCTGTAATGTTATGCAATGATTTTAAAACTCTTATACTACAATTTTGCTTTCAAGACTTAATTTCAAAACTAGGAATAAATTTGACTTTTTTTTCTTTTATTTCTTACACTAAGAAAGAAGTTAGATCATGGGAAAGAAACAGATTTGAGCTCATTTTCCTAGATATTTTAAAAGAGCTATTTGCTATGGGCTTGTACTGGTGGCTGATCACAAGTTACCGAGTTTGACTTTCAAGAGTGGAAATTAATATAGAACTTTTAGTATTTTCAAATAATTCTTGTCTCCTAGAAAACAGGTTGCTTCCTAGAAAACAGGTTGCTTCCTTCATGTATTAAATGCATTCTGTAAAGTCTGACTGGTTTAGATGACATAACTTCTCATTCCTATAAATCATTGAGCAAGGCATCGGTCCAGCCATTGAAAAAACACCACTGCCACTAGAAAGATACAGGACTCGTGAAGTCCTTCCAAATCTATCATTGTGAAGCTAATGGCACTCACTGAGAAATGAAACTTTCTTCGTCCCCAACGAACCGAAGAAAAGACTGATATTCGTGCTCGTATTTATTATTCTGCAGAGCCCTAGTGGGTCCTGCAGCTGAAAGTGAAGGATGAACTATAATAACAACTTTCAGTCATGTTCTATCAATATACTGATTCAGATCACAGTATTTTCTCAAATGTTTTATAAATGTAGAGTCTGCATGCTAAGGCAGTATAGTCCAACACAGTGACTTTTAGCAGGAAACCTGCCCGTTAGCAGGAGTCAGAGACACAGGGACCCTCTGTGAGTGACACTTGTGTGAGAAGATCATAACTGGGTTTGTATTCCCCCTTTCCTTTCTCCCATCTGACCTGTGTCTTTCCTATCCTCTAGAGCTTCAGGTATGGACAGGGTTAATCAGGATATTTGTGCTTACATCCTGTACTCATTTCTCTGTAGGAACAGTGTATATACAAAAGGAAGAGAGCATATGGGTTTGGATAAACAGACAAACCAACAAACAAAACAAAAAACAGAAGACACATTCAAAGCCACACAAACAGAAACATTTCTTCATACTACAGATAAATAATCTGCCTATGTAGCTGGTCTTTTGGTCCAGGATGAGTACTAAGTCCTGATAAGTACTGTCATTAATATTTCTTTTTCAGCCTTATCACCAAAGCCCAGAATACTTTCTATTTTTTTCTGTGATGAAAAAAAGAAAAATAAGCTTTACTGTTGTCTGTCTGATATTCAAAATTGCGTTACCTGTTGTTTCAGAGATCTCTGCCTATTTCGGGACTGGCACTTCTGTGACATACAATTTTCAAGAATACTACACCTTAAATAAAAATTCCAGTTCTCATGCTTCTTCTTTCTATGCTGACATGACACTGAGCAGGGAGACAATTACATTTACCTTCCGAACAACACGAATGCCAAGCCTACTACTTTATGTCAGCTCTTTCTACAAGGAATATCTCTCGGTCATTCTCACCAAAAACGGTGAGTGCTCAGTTAGACTGCCTGGAAGCACTAATGAACTTCACAGCTGCCAACCTGTTTTCATTCTGATTCCCAGACACAAGTTGTTTTGTTGTTGCTTTAGGTGGTGGACTTATTTTTCCAAGCATTGTACCAAGAAATGCTTTCCACCTGAAAAATTGCTACACACATACTATATTGATTCCTGTATTAATTAATTGTAATTTTTAAAGACTTTTTTAAAAAAATCCTTCCAGCAAAAATGATATTTCTATGAATTCTTTAGAAAAGCAATAGAGTGTTTCTTTTGTTTTTTCTTGCGGGTTTCAATTTTGAAGCTCAAATTAAATATGTCTGCTACATCCTTTAAACAAAGAAAGTGTAAAGTTCAAAATACCTATGATAAACACTGCAATTAAGTATTTTTAAAAACTGTATTGCCCATTAGTTACAGACCATTTTTCTCATCTATTACTGTAGGCTAATTGTGTTCGTGGTAAAAATACATGTAGTATAGTTGGTGTCAGATTAGCTATGTATGAAATTTTATTGGTTTTATTTTACATACTTTCATTTTCTCTTCTGATTTATGGTTATCCTTGCAATTCCTTTCCACTTCCAATATTTCTCTTTCTTTTCCTATTTCATTCTTTCATTTCCCACTTATGTCAATTTATATTACTTAAGCTGATCCCTCAAATAAATCAGATATTTGTCTTGCTCTACAAATGTGCATGTTAAAGAGGTATAATTGTGAGTTACCTACAATCATCTGTCTTGTAAGAAGTTTATTGTAACATTTTTATTAATACCCTCAGGAAGCTTACAAATCAGATATAAGCTAGACAGCCATCAAGATCCTGATGTCTTCAACATCAGTTTCAAAAGCCTGGCTGATGGACAGCTGCAGCATGTGAAGATTAACAGAGAGGAAGAAATGCTCTTTGTAGAGGTAATTCAGTTAAGAAAAATAAATAAAGAAGTGGATTGCTATCAAAAACATCCTAAGTAAAATGAAATAAAAAACAACAGTATAACAAGTACCCCAAAACAAACTGTGTTTTCAAAGCTCAAATAAATAAAGCAAAGCATAGCAGACTCATGCTGAGCCTTTGTATAAATCTAGATTAGACAATCTCCTTTATATCTATATTTTATAATGACTTAAAAGTCAGTTTCCTATTAGGGAAGGTCAGCACCTCCTCATTGTTGTATATGAAAATATAACGATTGTTCTTATGGCAAGGTCTCCATAATTCGTAAATGAAGATGGACATGGCATCTAACTTCTTCAGGGTCTTGTTTTTTTGTTGTTGTTTTGTTGTTTTGATTTTTTTTTTAATCTTAAATAAATATCAAACAACAGTCCAAACACTTTACCACTTAGGTCATAATTTAAGTTTCCTTGTCTAATTCTTCCAATTCCCTTTTACATTAACGGAATGTGAATATTTAGGGAAAAAAAATCAAGAAGAAATTTGGTTTTCCGTTATTTTTGGTGAAATTGGATGATAATATTTAATATGCTACTTCTATCTACTAATGCATAAGAAGCCTTAACTTTAAATTAGATATTAAAAAATGTGTGTGTTAGGAATCAATGTTTGGTGCAAGAGCTGAATTTGCATAATTATGCACTGGTATAAGGTTTGAGGGCGGGTTGTTCTAGAGGGACTATGGGGGAAGAGTACTGTTCCGTGGAAAAGAGTATAATATTTAACACTAAAAGAGTAATTATGTCCTGTTTATTATTATTACTATTATGTAATGTTAAATACCTTTTTTTAATGAGAAGAGCATTTCTTATGTTTTCAGAGGTTTGTCACTTCTACTTATCATGTAGATAACTAAAAAGGAACCACGTAAATCAATAAGATAAATAATGGTTTTATTAAGTGGGGATACTTAGGAAGTTTCACAGTCATAATCAGTGCTGTGAGGAAGCCGATCATCAATTCGTTGATGAGTTTTTATGGTACAATTAAGAGAGGTTTCCCTCAGCTCTTTCTATTTTTAACCTTCATCTTCTCTTTTTGCAAAGGTTGCCTAATATTTTTTCCACTCTTCTATATTTTTTCACGTATCCACTCTGCAGGTTAACCGGAATGAAAGAATGAAATTTATTCTGTCTTCAGGGACAGAATTCAATGCAATCAAGTCCCTCACACTTGGCAAGATTCTAGGTAAGTGAAATGCCACATGAATTTCCAAAACATATATCAAAATAATCATCATGGTACATAAAAAATATTAACCCTAATCTCACTAAAAGTGGCTTGTGTTGTCTTCCATTTAATTAGACACTGAATGACAATCAAGGTAGAAACTTTAGTCCTGTTGAAGAGCAAATATAATCATATCTTAGTGCTTCCTGAAAAATGAGCAAGTGGGTTCTATTAAAAGTAATTTCACTCTTATCTCTTTCATTTTGCAATCAAGCATTAGGAAACACAACATTTTCATTACTCTCAAGGACTGAATCACTATCAAATCATACACAAAGACCACAGAGCAGTATTAATCCTGTAGCATATTTGAGAAATTTTCCGTGATTAGATTTTGCAGGAAACAGTCAAGATTAACGTCATATAACCTGTTCTTGGAGTTGCTAATTTTTTTTAAATAAGGTATGACAAAATATATTTTTAACGATGATTTATCCCCAGCTATTTCTCTGCAGTGCTCAAAATTTAATTTACCTATCTGCAACTGCAATTCTCTCAATTATGTTAAAATAAAATATTTTTGAACAAGAATTCTCCAAATATTAATATTTTTGTATTTGTCATATTGGGAAACTTTAGGGATAGAGTAAGATGTGGTACTGATAAAAATTTGAAGGAAATATTATTTCTGTTTCCTGTAAAGTGATTTAAAATCCATGTTGTTACATTTCACTACCAAGTGCAGGTCCATTTGTGTGTTCTTGCTCTAGTGGCAGGGTTCTTTTGCAACAGTGTGAAGACAGAGCTACAAAGTCTCGCACAATCATCTGTGGTGTACGCTACTGCTGCACTGACCTTTTCTCTCTTTTGTAGTGATGATTTTCATCCCTTTGTGTTTAGTCTTAAGAGTAAACAGGTCTGCAAAAATACTGGATTCTAGAAAAAATCATACATAGATTTACAGACCTTAAAGGTTTGGAATTTTATATGACAAATTGGTAGTTGCCATTTCTGTCAGCAACTTTGTTTGTTTTAATACAGAAAATATTTTGAACAAAAATTATGGCATCTTTTTCCAAAATAAGACTGGATCTGTTGATCTGTCTTTGGTGCTTGACCATTTAACTAGTCTGCAAAAGAGTAATCTTTTGAAATCCTGGTCTTTTAAAATACCTTTAAGTAAACTAAAGTGTTAATAAAGAGTTTTGGTAGGAATACATTAAAAAAAAAAAAAAAGTGACATGGAGGAAATTGAGTTTTCATCTCAAGCTGGTGTAGATGATATATTAATTTATCTTGTTGTCCTATGCTTGTGAGAACTATTCTCATTTTTTGATACAATACCTAGCCTAAATCAGAAGTCTAAAAAAATGCTTCTGAACATTCAGTTTTATGTGGCTTAGTTTAGAGGAACTTTACTACTATGTGCCTGAAGTGTACCTCCAGGATCTATATATCTACCACTTTTGGCATAGTACCTTTGAGAATACTCTAACAGCTTTGCTAAATCAATGTTTCTGCCACTGTAAAAGACTCAGAAATACTGTCCTGAGCAAGAAAATAGAAAAATGATGACTTTTCGTAAAATCTCTTATTCATGAGTAAAGCATTATCTAAAAATGTCTTTCTTGCCACTGGAAGAGAAGCTCTAAGTCTGGATCTGTGTCTGTCTGACCTGTATAGCACACTCAAGTCATAAAAAAGCTGCCAAAAGGTGTATCCAGATCATCTGGTCCTCTGCTCTGAGCAAAAAGAGTCTAATTCTCTCTTGCACATGTGTGCACACATGTACACACATCAGTTTCCGATGTAACCTCTTCTAAACGTAATCTTTTCTGGGGAACAGAAAAAAAGGTTTAATGGTACCTTCAGGCTCACAGAATATTCCTAGTTTCCAAACCAATGTATAAGTAAGATGATATCTAACTTGCTATTGTTCTGAAAAAGCAGAATCACAGGCAGAGTTTTGAGATCTGAATGTGACATTTTCAGGTATAAATAATTTAATGGCTCATATAGCAGATTGTTGTGTTTTTCAGTTCCACAAGTGATATCTAGAATACATAAAAGGTTCAGTTTGAACATATATTCTTTTTTCTTTTTTTATTTCAGTAACAGAGTATTGATAAGAATTACCTTAAAATTAATTAAATGATATAATTTAAAGATCACATTTGTAGGCTTTTGAAAATCTTAATTATTGCTTAGTAAACAAATAGTCTGTTTGATCTCTTCTCTGACTGGAAAAGTAATTAAAAACTTCTAACACAAACAAATGCATATTTGTTTAGAAAACTAGAAATTGCTTTTATAGAACACACAATCCTGCAAAGAATTAGTATGAAGATAGGAATGAATTATCTCTTCAAAGAGAGAATGAAAAAGAGAATCATAATTTTAAGCACGTGTATCAAGACATATTATTGAAATGTAAACCATTAGATGAAAATTGTTTAAAATTGGTTTAAAATTAATCTAAAATAAAATTGAATTAATCATTGATAATGTTTTGAAATATATTCATTTTAAAACATATTCACATAAAGGCAATATCACAATGAATATTACAGAAAAAAGATTTTTGATTTGTTATGAAATTCCACTTCAAAAGTTGTATAGTTTTACTAAAAGAAGTATTTGATCAAATATAATGAAATGAAAAAAAATAGCAGAAAAATAGCAGTCTCTTTTGATCTCTGTTTTAAATTAAGGACCAGCGTTGTCTCTTCCAAAGAGTCCATGTTGTTACAAAGGTGTAGAGATGGACTTTTTTGGTTATATGATTACATCAGCAGAATAGCATAAGGCATAGACTTAATTCCCTCACAGTTTTTGTCAGTTCCATTTTGCTCTTTCCTGATACAAAAATGTGCTATAATGGTCTCCCCAGGAGACTGGGAGAGTCAGTTGCTTAATCAAATTTGAAGTCTCAGGAAGAAAAAAAAAATGTATATATATATGTGCGTGTGTGTGTGTGTGTGCATATGTATATCAGCGTTCCCTTTTGTTTCCTATAACCTAAGCTTTCCAGGTTAAGGACCCTTGAATTTCCTAAAATAACATGCTCGAAAAATAAGCTGGGAGCTAATGGATGCTGGAACTCATCTAAAAATGTGAAGACCAAGTTGTAAGGGAAGAGAGAAGAAAGAATATTCAGCCACCTAGGTCACAGGATGAAAGTCAAAAGGGCCCCCTTTTAGTTTTTCCACCTTCAAAGGCATTCCCCCTCAAAGCACCCCACACTGCATGAAGGCTGCAGAAGCCTCTCTTCTTATGAAAACCCACTGATGAAGTAATTTACTTCAGCTGAATAAAGCCATATTTGCCCAGGACAAAGCTTCCTAGATAGCTCAGCAGGAGAGTAGATAGCTCTAAGAGATGTTCCTCTTAGGGAGCAGCAGTTAATCTTTTCCTGCCAACTAAGATAAGGATAATTTTTTCAGCAAGCTTTGCTTGGATCTCATTTATATGCAGAGTTTCACAGATTAAGAGAAGGCATGATTTTAAGTCAATTTATTTAAATAAAGGCATGACTCTGAGTATGGACTGCTTAAAACAAAGTAAAAGTAACAAGTATCTTAACAAAAGACGAAGAGGAGACTTCAACATACAGTTAAACAAAAGGTCTAAGTTAAACAAATAAATTATTTTTAAAGTGATCTTTTCAAGGATATTTTGGTCCCACATTTAAAATCCAATTTCTGTTGCAATATGAATTAAAACTTTTCATATTTATGTTTAGTCATTTTTTTTTCCTTTTCCAAATCCATTTGTTTGTCTTTGCAATATGTACATGAATAGTTAAAATACTTACAGGAATATTGGTGTGGATAATTGATAAATCTACAACTTACTTAAGAAAAAAGATTTTTAATTATTATAGTTTTTTATTGATAAAGAAATGACATAACTGCAAAACTCATGCTGTGCTACATTGTAATGCAAAGTACAGTGATAATTCAAATTGCTAATTTAAAATCCGTATTTTAAAACAATAATGTCTGGGTTTCCTTACATAAGCGCTTAAATGAAGTGTATGCTAATTAACGGTTGCTTTGAAAAGTTTGTTTTCTGTTTGACCAGGTGTTTGTTAATGCTTGGGAATTCAGGCAGCAAAAAAAACACTAATATTCAGTCTTTTAAAGGTAGTTTAGAAAAGCTTTTAATATATGCTTGTTAGTGCAAAATATGCATTTTCTACATAGCTGCTCTAATTTAATGTGCACATAAATGTAGTCCAGAAAATTCCTAAGAGGCATATTTAAAAAACTAAGATTTCTTTTTTTTTTTTAAATCAGATTTTTAATTAAGTTGACAAAGCTTGTCTATGCATACTTCCAGGAAAGAAGATTTTAAGGGCAATCTTTTGAGGGAAATAAAAAGTTTTCATTCTTAAAATCTTGGGTGTAATGCTAAAATTTAAAAATCAATATTCAAAGATTTAGGCAAGATGCTTTGAATTGATGAAATATTTCTGTTTGTAAATATTTTCCTTCTAATGTTTAATATAAAATATTTTAAAAAGCGCTCTTTATTTTTTTTCCACTCACTCTCAGAAACACAACAAATGATAACTCCAGAAAAAAAAAACCTACTTGTAACTCATGACTGCTAGATTTTTAATTCTGAAAAAAAAAAAAAAAACAGCAAAAAGTCAAGGTGGAAAACCTATATATTTAGTTAATTAGTTCCTGCTAATATAATTTACTTACTTACTGACTTTTTTTTTTTTTTTTGAACAATAAACTAACTGGTAACAAGTTAATGAAAAGGATCCTAAGGTGTTTTGGAATATATTTAAAGTGCATAGTTCTGTGCATAGAATCATTAAGGTTGGAAAGGACCTCTAGAGGTCATCTAGTCCAACCACCCTGCATATGCAGGGTCACCTAGAACAGGACTGGCACAGGACTGCGTCCAAGCGGGTTTTGAAGATCTCCAAAGAAGGAGACTCCACAACCTCTCTGGGAAGCCTGTTCCAGTGCTCCGTCATGCTCACTGTTAATTTTTTTTTCCTTAAGTTTCTGTGGAACTTTTGATGCTCCAGTTTGTGGCCATTACCTCTAGTTCTGTTGGTGGCCACTAGTGAAAAGAGGCCAGCACCATCCTCCTCACTGCCTCCATTGACATACTTATAGACACTGATTAGATCCCCTCTCAGGCTTCTCTTACTCAGCCATCTCCTCTAAGATGTCTCTCTAGGCACCACTTACTTATAGTAATGCAGTCAGTCTGTTTTTTTCAATGTAACTATGGACAATGAAAGAAACCTGAAATAAAAATCTGGAAAGGATGATGTATTAAAACAAGGAAGACATGGTGTAG